TCGCGGATGCCCTCATGCAGATATTCTCCCGGTTGGGATTACCCAGGGAGATTATCTCGGATCAGGGTACCCAATTTACCGCAGAATTCACCCAACACCTCTGGAGGATCTGTGGCATTAAGCCTATTATCAGTGCCCCTTACCACCCCCAGACTAATGGGCTCTGCGAACGGTTCAATGGCACATTGAAACAAATGCTCCGAACCTTCGCAGAGACCCACAAGGACTGGGAGCGGTTCCTGCCGCATCTCCTATTCGCTTACCGGGAGGTGCCGCAGGAATCCACGGGGTTCTCCCCGTTTGAACTGCTGTTTGGGAGGAGGGTCAGAGGCCCCTTAGATCTTATAAGAGAGCATTGGGAGGGAGACCGGAGCGCAGATGGCACCCCCATCATACCATATGTGTTGGCTCTCCGAGACCGCCTGGAAGCCTTAACCAGGACGGTAAGGGAAAACCTTCAGGCGGCACAGACCCGCCAGCGCACATGGTATGACCGGGGAGCCAGGGACCGTAGCTTTCAGGTCGGGCAGAAAGTGCTAATTTTAAAGCCTGTCCGACATGACAAGCTACAGGCCGCCTGGCAGGGACCTTATAGGGTGGTGGAACAGAGATGTGACACCACCTATATAATTGGCTCCTGTACAGGGACGGGAGGGCGACGCATGCTCCATGTGAACATGATGAAGCCCTACCAAGCGCGCTCCGAGGAGGTAACCGCCATATGCGCGCCCAATTCAGATGAGTCTGACAGCTTACCACTCCCAGATCTGCTGGAAGATGGGCAGCTGTCTGGGGATTTAGGGGAAGTCACACTGGGAGACCGGCTGAGCCCACAGGAGCGCATCGAGGTACAGCAGCTGTTGGAAGAGAAACGAGACACGTTCTCTAACGTACCTGGGTACACCCCTCTGGCCACTCACCGGGTAGAGACCCCAGGGCAATTACCGATGCGTCAGACCCCCTACCGCATCCCCGAAGCGGTAAGGGAAAACATGCGCAAGGAGATCGATGAGATGCTCCAACTGGGGGTGATTGAGCCCTCAGATAGTCCCTGGGCTTCTCCGGTAGTACTCGTACCGAAGCGGGACGGTACGACCCGCTTCTGCGTAGACTACCGGAGATTAAACGAGAAAACGGTGTCCGATGCATACCCTATGCCACGGATAGATGAGCTACTGGACAGAATGGCCAGGGGTCAATACCTCACTACCATTGACTTATGTAAGGGGTATTGGCAAATCCCCCTGGCCCCAGAGGCCATCCCGAAATCGGCCTTTGTCACCCCATTTGGCTTGTACCAGTTTAAGGTCATGCCATTTGGGATGAAAAACGCCCCAGCTACTTTCCAGCGGATGGTAGACCGACTCCTGGATGGGTTCCAAGACTACACCTGTGCCTACCTGGACGATATTGCCATTTTTAGCAATACGTGGCAGGAGCACTTGGCCCATATAGGAGCGGTTCTAGACAGGATTAAGGAAGCTGGTTTGACATTGAAACCGGCCAAGTGCAGCATAGGGATGGCCGAGGTGCAGTACCTCGGACATAGAGTGGGTTGCGGCAAACAGAAGCCCGAACCAGCCAAGGTAGAAGCCGTGGCCCAGTGGCCCACTCCTAGGACTAAAACCCAGGTGTTAGCCTTTCTAGGGACCGCTGGGTATTACAGGAAGTTTGTCCCTAACTATAGCGCCCTCGCCAAACCTCTCACTGACCTTACTCGGAAGAATTTGCCCCGCCAGGTGACCTGGACCCCGGAGTGTGAGCAGGCATTCCAACATCTGAAAAATGCACTGATAAATGCTCCTGTCTTGGCAGCTCCCAATCCAACTAAACGTTTTCTTGTTCACACAGACGCTTCTATGTTTGGATTGGGAGCAGTACTGAGCCAAGTCGGAGCCGATGGCGGAGAACACCCCGTGGCTTACATCAGTCGCAAGCTGTTACCCAGAGAAGTAAGCTACGCCGCCATCGAGAAGGAATGCCTGGCTGTGGTGTGGGCCTTAAAGAAACTACAGCCGTATCTATATGGACAGCCTTTTTCGTTACTCACGGATCACAACCCGTTGGTCTGGCTAAACCGGGTGGCTGGGGACAATGCCAGGCTGCTGCGCTGGAGTTTGGCGCTGCAGCCTTTTGACTTTAATATTCAGTACCGCCCGGGTAAACAGAATGGGAATGCCGACGGGTTGTCAAGACAAACTGACCTGGAGAAATGATCCGTGAGTCCCCGGACATCCCCAAGCCGATCCGTGTTGGATCAGACTGTGTATGCCGGCTTGTGGGCAAGGGGGAGCAGTGTAGCGGATGGCACTGGGCTGTCCTGCAAATGTCTGGGAAATAATTGCATTCGTGTGATCTGTTAGTTTCCTATGTGTTTTAAAGCCTTGTATTCTTGTGATTGTTCGGTAGTTTCGTTCCCTTAGTTTATTCGAATGAAACTACCGAACAACCAGACCTCCCCTGTGTGAAGTGTGTCCTCAATTACCCGTTGCAACATTGTTGCGAACGGGTAATTGAACAGTAAGTAGCCGTCCTTTGTTCTCGGGGGTGGCCGCCATTCGACAAACGAACACGTGGCGGCCCATTTTAAAACTCCCGAACAGCGGTGTTTTGCCGTCGAGTGTCTGGAACTAAAATCGGACACTCGAGTAGGCGAACACCGCTGAGACCTCCACAGCCCTGGTCCGTTCGGTTCCAAACTACCGAACGGCCCCTCGTTCGGTAGATAGAGAATACCGAACGAGGGGATTCAGGCGAACCCTCCCTAGCCTCTATAGCTAGAGGTTTTCGTGTATTTTATTCCCTTATGCCAGGACCGACCGCAGGGCCCATTCACATGGAACCGAATTCGGCTATCTCAGTTCGTGCGGTCGGTCATTTTATTCCCTCCATACTTTTCCCGAACCCCTGGTCTGATCTGGGTGGTTTTTGGATATGTTGTTCACCCAGATCAGGGCTACCAGGGGATGTAGGATGTAAAGAGGTACCCCTACGTTTAGGGGTACATCCAGAAACGGGGGGAATTGGTGTACTGGATAAGGGGATTATGATGCTGGCTGAGGGGAGGAGATGTGTGGGAGGTTACCAGGACAGGATTGGCTACTGTAATAATTACTGTAAATTCCTCCCTTGCATGGGAGCATGCTTTATAAGGAGACTGTGATTAAAGGCTTGTCAGTTCTGCTCCTGAAACTGTGTGTCGTCCAGTTATTGGGATTGCTGTGGGGAGATTGCTGTTATTTTACCTGCTGGAAACTTTGCCTATGGATTTATTATTTACTTGTTCCTGAGCCTCACTTGGATTATAAGCGGAGACAACCTGGGGAATATTGCATCTCCGCTACACTCACTGCTTTATTTCCTGCCAAACAGGCCAAGGCGATGCCTCTTGATGGATGGTACAGAACCCCCAAACCAGCCGCAAGCACCCAGAGCGTCCGCAGGGACACCATCATCCGCTTCCAGCAGAGCCAGGACCGACTGGCCTTCATGGCGGCCATCCGCAACAGGTCATTTGAGGAACACTCATTAACATTTTTTCCTGCCTTATCCAGAGCTACCCTGGATTGGAGACGCTCATTACGCCCACTGACGAAGGAACTAATTGCCCGTAAAATACCGTGCCGCTGGGGAGCGCCGAGAAGCCTAATCATACCACAGGAACATGGTGACCTGAAACTCACCAACGCCGCAGAAATACCTGGTATAGTGCAGACTCTTGGACTGCCCGAGCAAACGATCGCAGTATCATCTCAGCTGACACCCTCCACTACCACTCACTAGGACTCAGAGAAGATGCGCCCATTCGTACCCGCGGCCCTCTGAGGAAACCCATCGCCACCCTCAGGGTCGTGAACTGCTCACAGAATACCACAATATTCTTTAGAACCTTCTGCAACTTAAGTACTTTTTCTTTCTTCTGGTTATCCCCATATGCGTTAAATGTTTATCTTATGTTTACATACGTATACGGCTTGTAATATTTCTACTCTTTTTAACTGCCTCCCAGTACAAATAGTCCACCCAGCTTCTAAATAACTAACATAAGTCTGGGTAGTTTATATCGTAAGACTGTTTGTATTATCTAGACCACAGACGTGCCTGATTAATATGTACAATTAATACTTATTTACAAATGTTCCTAGACATATTTACTCAACATGCATATTTTAACAAAAATTGTTCCATTCCCGCACGCTGAGACACTGTTTCTTATTGTACCACCTTAGCCCGTACCAGCTGTTGTGGCGATACGAGCTTGTTTGTATTACCTACGCACTGCAAAAATAAAGAATAAAAAAAAAAAATACCAATAGATTTTCATCATTTAATATATTTTTCTCTCTTTCGATTTTGCGAACCCCGTCCCCCGTACTCCCAACCCATCATTATGGTTAAGGTTTGGAAGCTCCAGTAACCTCACTCGCACATTTGGAAGTCACGTTGCCTTTGCTTCGATTGTTTTCGCTGCTCTACAATCCACCTCTCGTGCCCAGAGTCACTGCTCCCTCTTCTGTCTCTCCTGCCACCCTCGCTACTCTCATACTTCTGCATCCTGTTTTATTTATATAATATTACTGAACACCAGTCCCCCATCCATCTTTGTCCCATGCTTATGAGTTTAGCTCTCGCCTAGGAGACCATAATAAGATAAAGTTCCTATTGAAGCTCATCTTTTTTCCAGTAAACATTAGAGGAAGTCTCTACAGGTCCAATTCTCATGGTTGAAAATTAGCATGACATTACCTTGACTGGAAGATAAACCTGGCTCATTATGAAATAATACGGTGTTCTATCTTTCTGATTCTGTATGATCTCTTGATGTATGTTCTCAAAAATTTGAATAAATCTTGATTTAAAAAAAATGTATGGAAGCTTTGGACCGGTAAAGCAAGAGTTAGTTCCCATTTAGGAAAGTGCTTGCAATGGTCAGAAAAGGGGTGCAGGGGAGATATCCTGGTTTTATCCAGCTGCTCCAAACCAGTTTCACAGAAAATAGGAAACCTCCCACCCCAAAAAATTGGGAGGGGAATGGCCCCCACCATTCCCCTCCCAATTTTTTGGGGTGGGAGGTTTCCTATTTTCTGTGAAACTGGTTTGGACCTAGAACATGCATTTATTTATTTATTTGCATTAAAATTTTATTTATTTTTATAAAAGAGTGCCTTTGACAAAGGCAACTCATGTTGCAGCGATAATCAATGTACATCAACCAGAATGAACATAATAGGATGAGCAAAAAAAAAATCATAGACCTAAGATCAACCTAAGAATGCAGTTAAAGGGATTCTATAGTGCCAGGGAAACAAAGCTGTTTTCCCCCCTGAACCTGTAATTCCAACCACCGTGGCCACGTGCAAATTCCATTATTTATTGGTTACGAGAGGTTTTATTAACGTAGCCTGGTAAGATTTCAAACTTTATTATGGTGTGTGCACTCTGTCCCTTCATGTGTAGGAAATGTGGATGGTAACCAAAGACAGCACCAGAACTAATAAACCGAGCTGCAGTTCTGGCTTAATGGGAAACACTGGAATACGCACTGGGGTTTAACAGGTACCCAGGCACACCATAATGCATGGTCCGACATGAAGGTCCTTTGATCTCCAATGTGTGGACCACCCCTGCAGAGAGACTGACAGAGAGCTGGAATGTGTTCTATCTCCAAACCTTCCTCATTGCTCCCAGCACCAATCTGTCCTCAGCACACATCACAATCGGGGCAATTTGTCCCGTGCCGCTCAGCCATGCAATCAAACAGAAGGTATGGGATGAATATGTGACTGGTGAAAGGGAGTGACAGGGAGAGAACTTAAATAGAAAGACAGAAGGTGGTGGGGGGGGGGGGAGAGAAACGTGAAAAGAAGGACAGAAGGTGGGGGGGGATGGAATATAGAAGAAAGAAGGTGTTGGTGGGGGAGAATAGAGAGATTAGGACAGAAAGTGAGATGGACAGGGGGCAGCAGTGTCGGGTGCCCCAGGTTCAGGATTACACAGCTGCAATACAATTCAAGCCCTGAAAGTAAGATAGCACCCAGTTACTCCTGAGACCAGTGGCATAACGTGGGCAAGGCACATATTTAAAATCCACGCCTAAAGTAATGTGTAGTCTATTTTGAAGTAGCATTGGATGTTTGTTATTCAATTTCCTTTTAGTCTCCAGATTATTCATTTTGTGGGTGTGTGTGGTACACTTTGGCTTTCAACTGTGATTTTGATACACTAATTATGCTCCCTAATTTGCATAGCTCTCATTCTTTTACACCGTTTAATTTATGTTCTCTCCCAGATCTTTTGTCGCTTTCGGTGCTCTGGTCTTTTTCCTCCAATCCTTTACCGTTAATTCAGGGAGTTCCTACAACTAATTCCTGGACATCGCCACTCATTAAAGGACCTCTATAACCAACGATTCCTTGTAAATCAATCACACCACCTGAAGGACAAGCAAGCACTGTGACTAAAATACAACATGGCAAATCCTATAGCACAACAAATACACGTACACAATATCTGAAAAGGCCACCTTAAAGAAACACACGAACACCACAATGTCCATATGGAATCGTCTGTAGTTAACTTTTGTTATGTATTTTATAATTCTTTTGTAATAATTCAGCTTATATTTTATTTACTGAAAAGTCACAGTAAACAGATGTTCATTCAAAAAGAAAGAAAAATGGATTGCCCTTATTGGTGTTTAGAGCGAAGTGCTGATGTCGTTTTATGGACTCTCTTGTAAATTCTATGCAAGGTATAATGGGAGATTAGAATCAAAACAGAATGTACCCCTAGATGGAAAAAATCCAGCAAGGGGTACCAAGAGAGAAAGGGTTACAGGGGTACTAGTAGGGCTTAACCCTAAATTATTACAAAAATTGAAAAGAACATATACAAATGAGGGGAAAGCAACCCTTAAAACAAAAGGGAGCGAATCCCCTCAGAAGCAATACCCCTATTAGAGCAGTATTAAGGCAGTGGCTAAAAGATATATATATATATATATATGTAAAAAAAATAAGTTTTATTCGTTATTATAGAAGGCACAGACCACATAAAAATAAATAAATGAAGAATTGGAGGAACACCAAAGAAAAGAGAGATTCCCAATATAAATAGATACACATTGGTGAACTGAACGCTCAGTAGATAGAGATCTATCTCTTACTGAGGCCCTTGAGAAAGGCGATTTTTTGTCGCCGAAACACGCGTTGGGCTTGACGGGGTGTGGGTAATTTCCCCACACCCTATAGACTGATTTTTTATTGTGTCTATGTTGATTATACCCTCCTTTTTGATTCCCACTTTATATTTTCATCTATTCAACCTCTCTCTGTCCTTTCGATTTACTAACTCTACCTACAGCAATTTGATTCAATCGAGTTACACTCAGTAAGCCAATGAGACTGATTTACATACTGATTGCTATATAGTAAGTAAGAGACCTATATGCATATATAACTTTTAGAAAGGTGAAGTGAGAGAGTGAAAAGGGAAAGGGGGACAACGGAGGAGGGGAGACTTTCTTATATATACATAGATTTGTATTTTGGAGGACCCTATCTTGCATACAGATCCCAGTATATACAAGTTCACTTGAATAATGTTTGTTTATATATATATAGATACATTGGTTGATAGCTACACATTTTGCTATTTTGTGGCTGAACGATCTCTATCTACTGAGCGTTCAGTTCACCAATGTGTATCTATTTATATTGGGAATCTCTCTTTTCTTTGGTGTTCCTCCAATTCTTCATTTATTTATTTTTATGTGGTCTGTGCCTTCTATAATAACGAATAAAACTTTATTTTTTTACACATATATATATATATATCTTTTGGCCACTGCCTTAATACTGCTCTAATAGGGGTATTGCTTCTGAGGGGATTCGCTCCCTTTTGTTTTAAGGGTTGCTTTCCCCCATACTACAAGAATGGTGCAAGGTCTGCATGAACGAAGACAATGGCATAAAATTCACCCTAGCGAGTTCTCTGATAATCCCTGAACCTGTAATTCCAATCACCGTGGCCACGTGCAATTATACTCTCTGTAAATAAAGGATTAAAGGAACACTGTAACTTTAAAAATAAATACAGTATTACAGGCATTCCTATTGCGGTTTACATTATTTTTATTAAAGTTATTACAAAACCAAACAAAAAGAAAAAAAACCTATTACACTTGCACTGGAACACACTCCTTACAACAACGGCCGCTCTAAATTCTCTGAAATCATCAATACAGACAATCTCAGCCCAATCCAATGCTTCCCATAGAGAAACATTGAGCACATATGTACAGCAATTGCTGCGCTCCACCAATCAGATGTTTTGTAGAAGCATGACATCCAAAATAAAATCAAACCATAGTCCATTCCATAAAAGAATACGAAGAAAAGTCACGTCTCTTGGATAGCAAATATTCAGATCACACAGGGCTGCTGCTTGTTATCAGCTACACGCTCTGTGTTTTTAGGATTTTCTAGGTATGTTGTGGTGAAGGCAATACAGAAAAGAACAAGGGGCGGTTTAAGATAATGTCCACAGCCAGCAGTGCGTTCATTAAATGCTATGTTTCTATACAAAGAATGATGTGAATCTCAATCGGCTCGCACTCTGTGTGCATGAGATTTGTAGCCAATCCTGCTAGTACTTGTAGGTTTCTCAGCAATCACAAGCAGTGAGGACAGGTCGATTAATACAAACCTGTTGATGATTCACTTCACGTTATCATCGCACGGAAAACCCTTCCAACGCACACACAGGTGGGTGGAACAGAGTGGGTTCCCCTGGAATGACAATATGCAGACAGAGACTGCAGATATCAGAGGCTCTGTGAATTCTGAGAGCTGATACAGTATGTGCAGCAAGGTGAATCACGAGGGCAGGCATGTGTGGCCCACAGAATAGGCTTTAATGGATTAAGAAGAGGGGAAATAGGTCAAGTGAAGGGATTCCCTGCTTCAAGTTGTTTGGTAAAAAGTGCACTGAATATTAGCAGGCAGTGCACCGTGGACCACCCTAAAGGTTTACATGGGAAACTGGTTATTTAAAGTCATTAAAAATAAATAAATAAATAAAACATTCTAAAATATATAATGGGGAAAAAAAGGAAATGTCTCAGTACAGGAAATTACAAATACTTAAAGGGACACTGTAGTCACCATAACAACTACAGCTTAATGTACGCTCAATGACTCCATCCTCTGCATGGAGACGCAGAATTTTCCCCATAGAGATGCATTGATTCAATGCATCTCTATGAGGAGATACGGAATGGCCAGGGCGGCGTTTGGCTCTGCCCCCCACCTCCTTGGCTGAGATCATCAGAACTGACAATCTTAGCCAATCCAATGTTTTTCTATAGGAAAGCATTGGATTGGCTGAGATCATCAATTTTGATGACATCAGCCAAGTAGGGGGATCGGGGGTGGGGCAAGCACCACCGGACCAGTGCAGCTCTGGAATAAAGGTAATATTTAACCACTTTTAAGATGAGATATATTTAGAGATCAGGGATAAGTGGAGAATTGACAACTCTGCCATGGTTCCCAATTTGTGGATGAACCTCAAACATTGACACAATGGGGTATAATATAGTTATGGCATACTTCTTTCAATGCAAATTACTCTCTATGCTGGGTGGGTACCATGGGAAATGCCAATGTAAACCATTGATGGGCAATAGTAACAGCGCCTCCTCAGAAAGCAAAGGTTGCAAAAAGCACTACAGTCCAGAAACAGATTTATAATAATTTCAGAGCAAGGAGTCTATAAGCTGTGAGGGCTTGACCAGAGGGGCAGACTATACACCCCTTTTTCGCATCAACAAATCCTGTTCTCCATTGCTCATATAGAATTTGGAGCACAGACAAGACATCAAGGAAGTTATTCTGTCCCCCTCTCTCTCTTTCCACATATAAAAACAAATAAATCGATTAGTATATAACACAATGGAACGTATATCAAATTGTGGTAAAAGGAAAGAAATGCATGCTTAGTCAAGGGAGAAAGCTTTAGGCAGCAGCCTATTCTGTCTATGTGCAGATCTGGCCAAGGGAATGGTATCTGCGTGTT